GAACACTGGCTGATTGTTTCATGTTTTCCTTGTTCTGTTGTAGCGTGTAGAGAATGGGGATCTGAACTGGATTGTTCCAGGAAAACTGCTGGCTTTCAGTGGCCCTCATCCCAAAACGAAAGTCGAGAATGGTGAGGCTTGTTCACATCGAAATACAGGTCTTTTGGTTTATTTCACTTGTTTGACTGTAGAGGGCACTGTTGTAATATTAGAAGATAACACCCATTATATCAAACCCATATCGGCACTGGAGTTTTATAAGCAAATGCTTTTACTGTCTTCATAATAAAACAACTAATTTAATCAAACATTACAGATTCTGTGTTGTGGATAAAGGTTTTGTAATAAATATTTATACCTGCCATTTTTATTTATACCTGTCAAATATTTATACCGTCACCCGGTTGGTAGTGGTATACAAAAGTTTTAGCACCCCTGTAAATATGAATGATTTTTCATTTATTTTTTTTTTAGATTTTATATATAATTAAAATATATGACTTATGGAAAGTGTGCAAGATTTATTTAAGCAAAACTACGCCTGTGCACAAATTTAGGCACCACAAAAAATACCGTAATATTTTGTTCATTCTACTTTTGCAGAAGTAACGGTGTCCCTCCTGGTTTTTGTTTCAGCACAAACACTGTCAGATTTAAACAAACCAAGAAGAGCTTAATTAGTTGAATCAGTTTTATTTCATGAAGGTTGCACATTGTGCAGGGCTGTGGCCCTCCTTGCCCACCTCTGAATTAAGCTCTTTTTGGCTTGTTTAAAGCTACCAGTCAGGTTTGATGGTTTCTGACCATCGACAGCCTGCTTTAAATCACACCACAAATTTTCAAAAATATTCATGGCTCTGCTGGCCATTCCAGAATGTTGTACTTGTTCCTTGGCATGAATATCAAAGTAGAACAGTGTTTAGGATCATTGTCTTGCTGAAAGATCCAGCCTTTACGCATCTTCAACTTCGTCACCGTCTCTCTAAAATCTTTATATCGAGTGGAATCCATGCGACGCTCAACTCACACTTCCAGCGTTTTTCTTAGAAGGAAAGTTGCGAAAAGTTGCTTTTGCGGCCCTTTGCCAAAATTACAAATTTTAGTTTCATCGGTCCACAGCACCTGATTCCAAATTAAAGCTGGCTTATCAAATGTGCTTAAGCGGACCTTTGTGGCTTGTGAAGAGAAAAGGCTTTTTCCTCATCACTCGTCCTTGTGTAAAGTGCACCAAATAGTCTGTGTCTCCATCTGCCGCAAGATGATCCTGTAGGTCCTAGGAGCTGGTCTGTGGGTTGACTGTGACTGTTCTCACCATATAACCCATCTGATTACCTAAGATTTTTCTTGGTTTGCCACTTTGAGCCTTAACTAGAACTCTTTCTGGTCTTCCAGTTCTGCACAATGTTCTTCAAAGTGTTTAAATCTCTGAGAGCTGTATGTATCCTTCACCTAAACCATGAGGTTGTTTTCATCTGTGGAGAAACTCTTAAAATTGGCGTCCTTTAAATACTTTCCCATTTCCCTTATTTCACAAAATTTTTATTTAAATTCATTAACCAATGATTTATAATGGACAATCATTAACATTTACAGGGGTGCCTAAACTCTTGCAAACCACTGTAAACTTTTCCTACATGGCATTTTAATACCAACCAATAATATCAACGTTGTTTGCCATGTATCTTCATTTGTTTGATAATAAGACTTTAATTAATATAGGATTTCAGAATAGCTTAAACATAGTCAAAGTAGACATTTTTAGTGTTTTTAAAATGGTTTACATTGGGGGTCTCTGTACAAAATTGAGAAAAACTTGCAAACTGTACAATTCAGTTGAGATTTAAACCGTTAGGACAATCCAAATGCTGCATAAAAATGACCGTTCTTGTTGTAAACTGTAATTTTCTGTTTCAAATGTTCAGGTTACCCTCTTCATGCCCCCGAGGCTTATTTCCCATATTTCCGGAAGCACAATGTCACCACAATCGTTCGCCTTAACAAGAAGATCTACGACGCCAAGCGCTTCACTGATGCCGGTTTCGACCACTACGATCTGTTTTTCGTGGATGGCAGCACACCTAGCGACACCATCACCCGGCGCTTCCTGCACGTGTGTGAGAGCACGGATGGAGCGGTGGCCGTCCACTGCAAGGGTGAGACTGCACATCAAAGCCATGGAAATTACCTCATTGACCTTCTTGTTTCGTCTGAAAGGAGGAGCCCTGTTGATAAAATGGCTTTGTTTTGATGGAGATCAGACACTTATTTATGTCACGAGTATTCTCTTATTAATACCACCGCCTTATCTAAACATTTATTGGAGTTATGTTGAAATGAAGCCTCTGAGATGTGATTTATTGTTTTTTTTTTTTTTATTATTTTTTATTTTTTCTCCCAACCAATCACAGCTGGTTTAGGCCGGACGGGGACTTTGATTGGCTGCTATATGATGAAGCATTACAGATTCTCAGCAGCCGAAGCCATCGCTTGGATCCGCGTCTGCAGGCCCGGCTCTATTATTGGACCACAACAGCATTACCTAGAGGAGTACGTGTCCTGAAACTACCCATAATGCACCATTTGCTCTTCACTTATTACATTTTTGGCTCTTCACTTGTTTTTTTTAGTCCTTTTCAGTAGTGTATTGCGTTTATGTAATGCTCACAAGGAGAAGATCAACCCGTGTTACAGATTCGGGTTGGTTTTAGTGGTTTTCGATTATATTCGTTGAACTTTTAACCCTCTCTTGGTTCAGCTGTCAAGCGTGAGCTAAAACAGAGCTCTGTTCTTATGGAGGTTGGTTAATGCTAATCTCTCAAGTGTTTTTTTCTGGGCTAATATGACGCAGAAGAGCAATTGAATGCTCACCACTGGCTATCTCCAGGCATGTTTCTCCTGAGGTCATTGTTAGATTGTGCTGCCCTTCTCATTTGAGATATTTTCCTTTGCAGAAAGCAGGCGAGTCTTTGGGCACATGGTGATATTCAGCGCTCCAAACAGCGGCAGTTTGAGGACAGACCCATGCCTCACCTCATCTCCAGTATGGACAACCTCGCCATCAGTACCTCCATCTTTAAATCCCAAAGCCTGGACCGGATGGAGGAGGTCAGCCCTCTGAGATATTTACAATTATGATACAAACAAGTCGGGAAGCTGTTCAGTTTTGGGGTTTAAAAAAAGCGAAACACGTGTATTATAAAGGTTTGAAAATATTTCAAGACCATAATATTTCAAAATCTGTTTTTGGTCAGAACGATTACGCAGAGAACGACTTCGGAATGACGCAAGGAGACAAACTTCGTGCCTTAAAGGTTCGGCGGCAACCAAGATCTGCCACCACTGGAGCGATTAGGTAATGCAATCTTACATCTTTTAAAACCTGAGCTGAGATTGAGTGAGCGCCCCCGGTGGCCACCATGAGAATGCAGCTCTCCTTACGGTCGAATTATTTTCTGCTCTATTTTTGGAGCTGACATGAAGAGCAGAAACGTTGTGAAAGCAACATCACGTCATCTATTCGGGTCTCCATTTACTGCAGCCCTGTTACAGAAATGGCACCCGCTCCTTCCGCTCATTAATGAAGCCTTTTATCACAACTCTTTCAACTTCCATTAGCTCATGGCTTAGCGAGGAGCTAAACGATGACGGGCCATGCTTACGGTTTCCATTCCGCTCTTAAATGCAAGACAGAGAGTTAAATAAAATACAAAAGAGCCAGTCTGCAAAGAGCCCTGATGTACCAGCCATGGACCTGGTTGGCATAGAAACACAGTGTTCCTGTTGTCTTGGAGAGATGCTCCTTGGGATTAGATGACCCTTTTAGATGCCTGATTGTAATAGCTCTTATGTGACAAGAAGACCTGCAATGTAATACTTTGTGGATTAATGGTATGCAAATTTCCTTGCTTAATTTGAATGTTTGCATGAATTAAAACCCATTATCTTTTAATTTCTTCACTGGGTTTTGTTCCAGCTTTCATGGCAAAATAAAACTGTTATGTGCATATCGCCATCTACTGTACACTACTCTGTCGCTAATATTTTTAAAATACCACGAAAAGAATATATCCTTGTTAATTCAGATATTTATTATGTATATATTTCTAAATTTGATTGTAAATAGTCGATGTGCTTGTTTTTTCTGCAAATTGTATCAATTCTAAACATATTAAACTATAAATAAATTGTCGTACAGCTAACAACAATCAAGATCAAGGAATTGTTTTCCTACTTTTTGAGGGACATTTTTATATTTGGTAAAATATATGGAGAGAAAAAAGTTATTTTGTGAGGGTATTGGTTTTGGCATTTTCCAAATTTAGTATTGATCTAAATCTATATTCTTAAATGTGGATTATAATGGTTGCTTCCATGGCTGATTAAAATACGCCACAGCAGATGAAAATGTTGGTAGAAGAAAAGACAAAAATACAAATGAAAAACATAACAATAAAAACAATCCAGCCAAATCAAAAGATGTTTAAACGAAGTACCTAAAAATATCAACAGTCACTATTTGTAAATGTACATTTTAAGATGTGATTTAACATGGTGTGACACCAGGGACAAAACTGTTGACCCGCACAATGCTTAAATGAGCCACAGGGCAAGAGGCAAACAACTTTTGGTTTAATTATTTGACAATTAAATTAATTCAACTCTAAAAAAGATAAGGGATCAGCTTTGTTCCACCCAAGAGGATGTAAGATGCAGCTCCCTTTGGGTCTTTTAAATTTGGTTTACTGGAGTCAAGTGTCATGTAAATGTTCTTCCAACAGACTCGAGGACATGAAGATGCACACTAGGTCCCCGACTCAGCCCCTGAGGTAACCTCTCACTACAATCATACTTTCTTATTTTCTTTTAAATTTTTGATCAAAATCTAGTGTGTAGTGACTGCGCTGCGATCATTATGAATTTCACCAAAAAAAAAAACAAAAATATCCCCTTGAAGCAAGTCACTCTCAGAGAGGCTTACATTTCCCGCAATTAACACATTCCGTTAATTACTGGGGTTTGAACCCATGACATTTGTGTTGCTAGCGCAATGCTCTACTGACTGAGCAAAGCTATGTTGTAAAGTTTTTTTGTTGTGAATATAAACAATTATATTATTGTCCTGTTGATCACTGACTGGTCAGTAGTCGAGCTCACTGATTGCAATGATGCTTGCATTGACACAAAAAAACTCACAACAACATAGCTTTAAAATAGCCAGCAAACAATTCTAGTTACATCAATAGTTTTCATATAGTAATTTTATGCTTCACAGATGGAGGAGCCTAATGTAGATCTGTTCTAGTATGAACGTTTTGTGGGAATGAATGGCTTGTTATTAGTTAACTTTTTTTGGCCGAGGCCATTTTTAAACAGTGTCTAAATTACAATTTAGTGTCTTATTTTGATTGTGTTTTTGTCGATCATTTAAATTAATGTAAAAGTAATTAGTCTAGGGCACTTGTGGAAATACACCTGTGAGGAAAAACCCACACTAGCAGTACCAATTCACTTGGGGAGCTACATGCTACTACTCCCAAAGATGTGTTGTCCTTCTTTGAGGGGAGTAAAGCTGGAGTTATAAAGTATTATAGAAAGCTTCGTATAGTTATAAAGCTAGGGGAATAAAGTTAGAGCAGTGGTAAAGTGGTTTGTTTATAGCCATTAAAAGTTCACAACTTCTAGTTAATGTAACACTCAAAACTCTCCTTGCCCATCTCTGATTTTGATGCACTAAAAATATGTTCATTTTTAATAGAAATAGGTCCAGCACTTTGGTCAGCCTGGGCTATTGGAAGGTGCTATAAAAATAAAGCTTGATATTTGATTAATTGGCTAGGTGGCCATAGAAATGGTGGGTGTAATTCTATCGGCATTAAGCTGCGGTCACCATGCTATAACCATCACTGTCCAACTCATCTAAATTATAAAAGGGTGCTGTCTTATCTACTTTTACACAATCCTAAAAGTGTACATTTGTTTGATATCGAGTGATCAAAAAACCTCATTGACCTGACCTCGTCAATACGGTGGCTCAAGAGCATCATGTGACATGATATCGCAGGTTACAATTCCTCCCAATTGAACTTTCCCTTGAAGCGAAATCTGGAATCGCAATTCATGAGCGGGAGTCTCCGCTTTCGCATCGCCGTATGAGATCCCATTCAAGTCAATGAGATCTTTTGGCATAAAATACCACTCCATCAACGGTCTCCTTTGTTTTCTGTTCAGTCGCTCCATGTTGTGCATTGTTTCTGCTGGTTTTTCATTTTTAATGTCACCTGGCAGAAAAATATCAAATTTCATGTTTTACAAAATGAGCAAAAACAGCCCAAAATCACAAATTGTTTGATTTTTTTTATTTTCATTAAAACAATGATTTTTATAAACATTAGTCATCTAGTTACAAAAATAGATCTTGAAGTGAAGTGCCCTGACAACAAGAGGCTTTATCAAGTGCGTGATGATGTCAGAGATTTGATCAGTGCCCGTTATAGCACGTTTAACCTAGATGTAAATTAAACATCTAGTGCCCTTTATGAGCAAATGCGCAGTCTTTAATTAATTTTCCCTTGAAGAGCACAGAGCTGAAGTGGCCACTCAGACTTAACCAGGCTCGCATCTCTTCCTGTTCTCACAAGACACAGGCACATTTGAATTGGTGTGAAATTTAAAGATTCTTGTTATTTTTAAACAACCACTTGAGTTTTATTTGTATAGCGTCTACATTGCATTATTTAATACTTGGCAAACCCTTGCTGTCATCACTTTTTTTCTGTGATATCACGGTTTCTGAGTTTTCATCCCAGAGTTGTAGAGTTGAAGAAAGAGAGGAATTGTGGGAGGTGGGGATTAATGGCTGAGGGATAGATGGAGCAAAAGGGGATTTCTGAAAAAGCTTTTTTTAATGGGTTTGTGTTCTGTTATTTATTTATTTAGTTCATGGTCTGTCTGAATACTGGATTCTGATTGGATGAAGGTGTTTACTTAATCACACAGGTAGCTCTGGGTCACTTTTGCCCCTTAATATCAACGCCTATGTTGGTAAGTATAGGAACATAGAGATACGGTTGAGGTCTAATGCAGAGTGTGACATAAACTGAAGGTTTATGGATTATTTTGATGTTTATACATTTCCAGTCATTTTTTTTTAAAAACCCTTCTTAAACTCTTAAGGTCTCTACACACAGATCAGAATTTTCGCTCCGAAGTTTCGTGCGACAACATGTACGAAAACCATGGGAACCATGAGGCAGTGATCATATTTTAGGGATAAATACTATTCAGTTCAGTGGGATAATTGCATAGCAATCTCAGGTCCCGGTTAACTGTGGGGTGCCACAGGGTTCAGTCTTGGGCCCTGTTTATTTAAAAAAAAAATTCTGGATGCTGTCTACAATTTATTTACAGAAGAAACACTTCCACCACCATGGGTCTTGTGTTGTTGGGATGATGCTCAACGTTCACCTTCAAACGGGGCAAATGGAGCTAGAAACAAAATGTTCTACTTTGGTCTCTTCTGACCACAGAACTTTCTCATGAACCCTGGCAATCTTCAGAAGGTAGAAGATAGGAACCTTCTGTGTGATGCCTGATTTTAAACCATGATGTCTTAGTTTAATACTGATAGTAGTGTTTGAAATGGTGGTCCCAGTTCTCTTCACAGCATTGAGCAGCTCCTCTCATGACGTTCTGGTCCATTCTTAGCATCATTGATGCCCCGTGAGAAGAGATCTTCCATGGGGCTTCAGTCCAAGAGACATTGACGGTCCTCGTTAACCTCTTCCATTTTTGGACCCTTGCTCCAACAGTTCATTTTTCACCAAGCTGCTTGGCAATTACCCTGTATCCCTTTCCAGCATTGTGAAGGTCTACAATTGTCTACAACCTTTGTTAGCTCTTTTGTTTTGGCCGTTTTGCTACTTAGACTTTTGACTGATTGTGGGAAGCACAGGGGTCTTTATGACCGCCAACAACCTCAAGCAGGTGGTACTAAAATAGTGAGCAGAGTTGACTATTTAAAAGCAAAATAACCAGTGTTTGAGGGTCAGAAATATGGCTCATACGCAAGTGATCATCCATAATTCTTTTTCAAATTCTCTGAATTCTTTGTTTTACAGCAGAGCAAAGCCAACAGCCGGAGGCCAGGGCATCATATCTCCTCTCAAATCTTCCAAAGTTCCTCCATCCGCCTCTGCAAAGAGAATCGGGCACACATCATCCTCCTCCTCCAACCTCAAGAGGTGAGCACCTTTCTTCCAGTCGCCTTTAGTCTGCTCCAGTTCTCTTCCTTCTGCACATTATGCCTCTCTTACATCTTTTGTATAATTGTTCCTCCTTTTTCTCTCATTCCTCCTTCCCTGTGCTCTCAGCTCGCTGGTGGCCTTTTTCCCTCTCTGTGATTACCCCATGATCTAAAACCCACGCTGTTAACCCAGGAAGCCACTCTTCCGCTGTGGTTTATGTCACCTGATCTTCTCTCCACCACTATCCCTCACTCCATCCAAATATGCCTCTTGAAGGCAAACCATGTTGTGGCTGGGTGAACATTTTCATTAAGATGCCCTTTATAATTCGTATTTATATTTTAAGTAATATCGACATTAGTAGGTTATTATATTATTCGTCTTTTGCTTGAGACAAAACAATTCTTTTCGAAATACAGCCAGCAAAAAAGACATTCTGACTTCAGCTGCTATGTCTTTTCAAACCGGTACCACTAAATAATTCACCAAATTTTCCATTGACTTTCACAAGGTCACATTTTATAAAGCAGTAACCCAAAATGAGAATTTTGTGGAACCTTCAAACTCTTGTTTTGCTCGTGCGAGAATATACCAGTGCTGTGGAAAAGTATTTGAACCCTACGATATTACATTTTTTACCATTGACTTATAATGGGTAATGGCAACAAAAATGTCTTCGAGATAAAATGTCATAGAGAAATATAATCACTGACAGCTCCTTAGAAACAAAACTGTTTACCCTAGCAACCAAGTTTTCCAACCTCTCTCTGCTTTGGTAAATGATAGACATGTGGGTTGTCTTATACAACTTACAGTGACAAAGGCAACATTATATAACGTCACTGACCCCTCCATAGCAACCAGGCTGGTTACCATACAACATTGATGTAAAAAAAGCTCCAAAAGTGATCTTAATCTTTATATGGTTTATATTTTATCGTAGTGGATTATATTGATTATATTACAAAAAAAGGTTGTTTTTTTCCTCAATGTACAAATATTTTGGAAACTAAAAAATTTTGAAAACCAAAATGTTAAATTAATGTTAATATAAAATGTTCTACATTACGTTTTTTTTTTTATAAACCTTGTCCTGTCCCACTCAAAAGCCATCACATGGGAGAGTAAATGCTTTGCTGAGTTGGACAGTTTTGTTATCTCCAGGGGAGTAAAACACCTGGTGTGGTGTTTTCTCTGTATTGGAGCATTGAATGTATTCAAATATTTGTTAGTTGTGGTTCCCATGAGCCAGTTTACATTAGTTGTGACAGGACAAGACTGCACATTACGTTTAAATAGAGAAAAAAATTAGATTAAGCAAGACAATTTAAATAAAAAATACAAAACAATGCAATGTAATTGCAACTTGGTATTTTTCCATTGAAATCTGAACTTAAGGTCAATATTAGAGAGTTTTAGGGAAATCAGTTAATAGAATGTCACCCAGCCCGACATCACCATCGATCAACTACAATCAGCACCTTCCTGTCCACTCCAAAAGCTTCGTTTGTGACAAATGCAACCATCCTTCATGTGTGTGTCTCCCACCCTCCAGCACCAGGTTAGCCAGCTCTCTGGGTAACCTGTACCAACCACAAACTGAATCCTCCAGCAGCCCTGGGAAGCCCCCCACCCCTTCCTCAATCCCGTCCCAGCCTGTCCGCTCAGGCTACAGCACCCAAAATTACCACTATGAGCTCAACAACAACAACAATCACCACAACACCAGCAGCAGCAATGGGGTGAAAAACCCCACCTTCAACCTCAACCACACCAGCCTGAGTCCGCAGGGTCACCACAGAGCCCCCCCGACAGGGCTGAGTGGCATCTC